TCTCTCTACAGTGATGTGGAATGTGTACGGGGACTGTGATAACCTATCCATCTCCCTCTCTCTCTACAGTGATGTGGAATGTGTACGGGGACTGTGATAACTTATCCATCTCCCTCTCTACAGTGATGTGGAATGTGTACGGGGACTGTGATAACTTATCCATCTCCCTCTCTCTCTACAGTGATGTGGAATGTGTACGGGGACTGTGATAACTTATCCATCTCCCCCTCTCTCTCTACAGTGATGTGGAATGTGTACGGGGACTGTGATAACTTATCCATCTCCCCCTCTCTCTCTACAGTGATGTGGAATGTGTACGGGGACTGTGATAACTTATCCATCTCTCTACAGTGATGTGGAATGTGTACGGGGACTGTGATAACTTATCCATCTCCCTCTCTCTCTACAGTGATGTGGAATGTGTACGGGGACTGTGATAACTTATCCATCTCCCCCTCTCTCTCTACAGTGATGTGGAATGTGTACGGGGACTGTGATAACCTATCCATCTCCCTCTCTCTCTACAGTGATGTGGAATGTGTACGGGGACTGTGATAACCTATCCATCTCCCTCTCTCTCTCTACAGTGATGTGGAATGTGTACGGGGACTGTGATAACCTATCCATCTCCCTCTCTCTCTACAGTGATGTGGAATGTGTACGGGGACTGTGATAACTTATCCATCTCCTTATCTCTCTCTACAGTGATGTGGAATGTGTACGGGGACTGTGATAACTTATCCATCTCCCTCTCTCTCTACAGTGATGTGGAATGTGTACGGGGACTGTGATAACTTATCCATCTCCCTCTCTCTCTACAGTGATGTGGAATGTGTACGGGGACTGTGATAACCTATCCATCTCCCTCTCTCTCTCTACAGTGATGTGGAATGTGTACGGGGACTGTGATAACTTATCCATCTCCCTCTCTCTCTCTACAGTGATGTGGAATGTGTACGGGGACTGTGATAACTTATCCATCTCCCTCTCTCTCTCTACAGTGATGTGGAATGTGTACGGGGACTGTGATAACTTATCCATCTCCCTCTCTCTCTCTACAGTGATGTGGAATGTGTACGGGGACTGTGATAACTTATCCATCTCCCTCTCTCTCTCTACAGTGATGTGGAATGTGTACGGGGACTGTGATAACTTATCCATCTCCCTCTCTCTCTCTACAGTGATGTGGAATGTGTACGGGGACTGTGATAACTTATCCATCTCCCTCTCTCTCTACAGTGATGTGGAATGTGTATGGGGACTGTGATAACTTATCCATCTCCCTCTCTCTCTACAGTGATGTGGAATGTGTACGGGGACTGTGATAACCTATCCATCTCCCTCTCTCTCTCTACAGTGATGTGGAATGTGTACGGGGACTGTGATAACTTATCCATCTCCTTATCTCTCTCTACAGTGATGTGGAATGTGTACGGGGACTGTGATAACTTATCCATCTCCCTCTCTCTCTCTACAGTGATGTGGAATGTGTACGGGGACTGTGATAACTTATCCATCTCCCTCTCTCTCTCTACAGTGATGTGGAATGTGTACGGGGACTGTGATAACCTATCCATCTCCCTCTCTCTCTACAGTGATGTGGAATGTGTACGGGGACTGTGATAACCTATCCATCTCCCTCTCTCTCTACAGTGATGTGGAATGTGTACGGGGACTGTGATAACTTATCCATCTCCCTCTCTCTCTCTACAGTGATGTGGAATGTGTACGGGGACTGTGATAACTTATCCATCTCCTTATCTCTCTCTACAGTGATGTGGAATGTGTACGGGGACTGTGATAACTTATCCATCTCCCTCTCTCTCTACAGTGATGTGGAATGTGTACGGGGACTGTGATAACTTATCCATCTCCCTCTCTCTCTCTACAGTGATGTGGAATGTGTACGGGGACTGTGATAACTTATCCATCTCCCTCTCTCTCTACAGTGATGTGGAATGTGTACGGGGACTGTGATAACTTATCCATCTCCCTCTCTCTCTACAGTGATGTGGAATGTGTACGGGGACTGTGATAACTTATCTATCTCCCTCTCTCTCTCTACAGTGATGTGGAATGTGTACGGGGACTGTGATAACTTATCCATCTCTCTACAGTGATGTGGAATGTGTACGGGGACTGTGATAACCTATCCATCTCTCTCTACAGTGATGTGGAATGTGTACGGGGACTGTGATAACTTATCCATCTCCCTCTCTCTCTCTACAGTGATGTGGAATGTGTACGGGGACTGTGATAACTTATCCATCTCCCTCTCTCTCTCTACAGTGATGTGGAATGTGTACGGGGACTGTGATAACTTATCCATCTCTCTCTACAGTGATGTGGAATGTGTACGGGGACTGTGATAACTTATCCATCTCCCCCTCTCTCTCTACAGTGATGTGGAATGTGTACGGGGACTGTGATAACTTATCCATCTCTCTCTACAGTGATGTGGAATGTGTACGGGGACTGTGATAACTTATCCATCTCCCCCTCTCTCTCTACAGTGATGTGGAATGTGTACGGGGACTGTGATAACCTATCCATCTCCCTCTCTCTCTACAGTGATGTGGAATGTGTACGGGGACTGTGATAACCTATCCATCTCCCTCTCTCTCTACAGTGATGTGGAATGTGTACGGGGACTGTGATAACCTATCCATCTCCCTCTCTCTCTACAGTGATGTGGAATGTGTACGGGGACTGTGATAACTTATCCATCTCTCTACAGTGATGTGGAATGTGTACGGGGACTGTGATAACTTATCCATCTCTCTCTACAGTGATGTGGAATGTGTACGGGGACTGTGATAACTTATCCATCTCTCTCTACAGTGATGTGGAATGTGTACGGGGACTGTGATAACCTATCCATCTCCCTCTCTCTCTACAGTGATGTGGAATGTGTACGGGGACTGTGATAACTTATCCATCTCTCTACAGTGATGTGGAATGTGTACGGGGACTGTGATAACTTATCCATCTCTCTACAGTGATGTGGAATGTGTACGGGGACTGTGATAACTTATCCATCTCTCTACAGTGATGTGGAATGTGTACGGGGACTGTGATAACTTATCCATCTCTCTACAGTGATGTGGAATGTGTACGGGGACTGTGATAACCTATCCATCTCCCTCTCTCTCTCTACAGTGATGTGGAATGTGTACGGGGACTGTGATAACTTATCCATCTCTCTACAGTGATGTGGAATGTGTACGGGGACTGTGATAACCTATCCATCTCTCTCTACAGTGATGTGGAATGTGTACGGGGACTGTGATAACTTATCCATCTCCCTCTCTCTCTCTACAGTGATGTGGAATGTGTACGGGGACTGTGATAACTTATCCATCTCCCTCTCTCTCTCTACAGTGATGTGGAATGTGTACGGGGACTGTGATAACTTATCCATCTCTCTCTACAGTGATGTGGAATGTGTACGGGGACTGTGATAACTTATCCATCTCTCTACAGTGATGTGGAATGTGTACGGGGACTGTGATAACTTATCCATCTCTCTCTACAGTGATGTGGAATGTGTACGGGGACTGTGATAACTTATCCATCTCTCTCTACAGTGATGTGGAATGTGTACGGGGACTGTGATAACTTATCCATCTCCCCCTCTCTCTCTACAGTGATGTGGAATGTGTACGGGGACTGTGATAACCTATCCATCTCCCTCTCTCTCTACAGTGATGTGGAATGTGTACGGGGACTGTGATAACTTATCCATCTCTCTACAGTGATGTGGAATGTGTACGGGGACTGTGATAACTTATCCATCTCTCTACAGTGATGTGGAATGTGTACGGGGACTGTGATAACTTATCCATCTCTCTACAGTGATGTGGAATGTGTACGGGGACTGTGATAACTTATCCATCTCTCTACAGTGATGTGGAATGTGTACGGGGACTGTGATAACTTATCCATCTCTCTACAGTGATGTGGAATGTGTACGGGGACTGTGATAACTTATCCCTCTCTCTCTACAGTGATGTGGAATGTGTACGGGGACTGTGATAACTTATCCCTCTCTCTCTACAGTGATGTGGAATGTGTACGGGGACTGTGATAACTTATCCATCTCCCTCTCTCTCTCTACAGTGATGTGGAATGTGTACGGGGACTGTGATAACTTATCCATCTCCCTCTCTCTCTCTACAGTGATGTGGAATGTGTACGGGGACTGTGATAACTTATCCATCTCCCTCTCTCTACAGTGATGTGGAATGTGTACGGGGACTGTGATAACTTATCCATCTCCCTCTCTCTACAGTGATGTGGAATGTGTACGGGGACTGTGATAACTTATCCATCTCCCTCTCCCTCTACAGTGATGTGGAATGTGTACGGGGACTGTGATAACCTATCCATCTCCCTCTCTCTACAGTGATGTGGAATGTGTACGGGGACTGTGATAACTTATCCATCTCCTTCTCTCTCTCTACAGTGATGTGGAATGTGTACGGGGACTGTGATAACTTATCCATCTCCCTCTCTCTCTACAGTGATGTGGAATGTGTACGGGGACTGTGATAACTTATCCATCTCTCTACAGTGATGTGGAATGTGTACGGGGACTGTGATAACTTATCCATCTCTCTACAGTGATGTGGAATGTGTACGGGGACTGTGATAACTTATCCATCTCCCTCTCTCTACAGTGATGTGGAATGTGTACGGGGACTGTGATAACTTATCCATCTCCTTCTCTCTCTCTACAGTGATGTGGAATGTGTACGGGGACTGTGATAACTTATCCATCTCTCTACAGTGATGTGGAATGTGTACGGGGACTGTGATAACTTATCCATCTCTCTACAGTGATGTGGAATGTGTACGGGGACTGTGATAACTTATCCATCTCTCTACAGTGATGTGGAATGTGTACGGGGACTGTGATAACTTATCCATCTCTCTACAGTGATGTGGAATGTGTACGGGGACTGTGATAACTTATCCCTCTCTCTCTACAGTGATGTGGAATGTGTACGGGGACTGTGATAACTTATCCATCTCTCTCTACAGTGATGTGGAATGTGTACGGGGACTGTGATAACTTTGCCACCCTGAAGGGACACAGTGGAGCTGTGATGGAACTTCACTACAACACAGACGGCAGGTAGGCTATACACGCACAACACACACACACACAAGACACACAACACACACAACACACACACACACAACAAACACACACACACACACACACACACACACACACACACACACACACACACACACACACACACACACACACACACACACACACACACACACACACACACAACAAACACACTCGCTCAGGTCAGGAAAAATGTGATGTTGTGTGATTGTTATTGTTGTTGACAACATGTTGGGGTCAATATGACGTGTGTTTTCTGGCCCTGTCCCTGTGTGTAGCCTGCTGTTCAGTGCCAGCACAGATAAGACTGTGGGAGTGTGGGACAGCGAAACGGGCGAGAGGATCAAGCGTCTGAAAGGCCACACCTCCTTCGTTAACTCCTGCTATCCTGCTCGCCGCGGGCCTCAGCTCGTCTGTACCGGCAGCGACGACGGAACCGTCAAGGTAACCATGGCGACCGGCGTCGTTCAACCCTGGTCCCAGACAGCAACCTGGGTGTGCGGGCTGTAGTTCCAGCCTAGTACAAAGACACCTGATTTAACTGATATATTAATTGAAAGCTGCTTTGAGGAACAGTAAATAATTGACAGACAGTGATATTTGCTTATCTCAACTAGCTATCTTAAGATGAATGCACTAACTGTACGTCGCTCTGGATAAGAGCGTCTGCTAAATGACTAAAAATGTAAATGTGTTAATGTTGGGCTGGAACTAAAGCCTACCCCGCACAACCTGTGAGTGTTGGTTGACTGCTGTTGTAGCTGTGGGACATCAGGAAGTTATGTGTGTGTTGTAGCTGTGGGACATCAGGAAGTTATGTGTGTGTTGTAGCTGTGGGACATCAGGAAGAAGGGGGCGGTCCATACATTCCAGAACACCTACCAGGTGTTGGCCGTCACATTCAACGACACCAGCGACCAGATCCTGTCTGGGGGCATCGACAACGACATCAAGGTACACGTGTGTGTGTGTGTGTAGCTGATGTGTGTTTGTGGGAGAGGCGTGGCTACTGTGTCATACGCCATGACATCATGGCACCTCATTCAACCTCTATAACCATGAACCCAGAGCGACTGTGTGCATTTTGGATTCACCACATTGAAAGATCAATCAAGCTAGTCCAGATGAATTATGAATGAATCATGGAATGGCACGCTCCATCAGAACTCAACCCAAACAAATAAAAGGCTATTAAGAATTCTAATGGGATTATTGATCAGGTGGTGGCTGTGTAATGGAGACGGTGAGCTCACAGGACAGGTGATGGACAGGGATAATCAGTTGTGCAGAAGGTTACAGGGAGTGGAGGAGTGACTACAGGACCAACGTGCTGTCAGACGAGGGCTATATGGGAACAGACAACTGGACATGCACACGCACGTTATCACTAAAGCACATTAGCAAGCATACATGCACACTCCCAAACCCCTACTGACCTTTATACATCCAGCTCCTACAACTCTTCAACCTTGACCTTCAACTTAACCTTATTTTAAACCAGAGAGAGGCAATCATGTATTCACTTAAAGCAACTGCATATCCCCGGGACCACCCATACACAAAAATGTATGCACGAATGACTGTAAGTCGCTTTGGATAAAAGCGTCTGCTAAATGGCATATTATTATTATTTTCCAAGGCTTTTTCTGAAATTCTTTTTTTAAAAGTTGTCTCTAGTTTCCCTGAAACTGGCTGGCAGGTGGACTTCGTAGACAGCGGCTTCTTCCTCCACTTTGGCGCGCAGGGCCTGTGGGGACTCCATGTGTTGCAGCTCAGAGATTTCCAGCTCCAGGAGCCTGGGATTTTTGGAGCCAGTCTGGGGGGGGGGTGGGTGTGACTATTTTCTACATTGTAGAATAATAGTGAGACATCAACACTATGAAATAACACATGCCAAGAGTGTGCAAAGCTTTCATCAAGGCAAAGGGGTGGCTATTTGAAAAATCTTAAAATATATTTTGATTTGTTTAACACTTTTTTTTTTGGTTACTTCATGATTCCATGTGTGTTATTTCATAGTTTTGATGTCTTCACTATTATTCTACAATGTAAAAAATAAAGAAAAACCCTTGAATGAGTAGGTGTGTCTAAACGTCTGACTGGCAGTGTACATGTAGGTAGGGGAAAAGTGACAGCATAGTTAATGGTTAATAAACAGCGAGTAGCAGTGTAAAAAAACGAAAGGGTGGGGGGGGTTTAATGCAAATAGTCCTGGTAGACATTTGAATAGCTGTTCAGCAGTCTTATGGCTTGGGGGTAGAAGCTGTTCAGCAGTCTAATGGCTTGGGGGTAGAAGCTGTTCAGCAGTCTAATGGCTTGGGGGTAGAAGCTGTTCAGCAGTCTAATGGCTTGGGGGTAGAAGCTGTTGAGAAGTCTTATGGCTTGGGGGTAGAAGCTGTTCAGCAGTCTAATGGCTTGGGGGTAGAAGCTGTTGAGAAGTCTTTTGGACCTAGACTTGGCGCTCCGGTACTGCTTGCCGTGCGGTAGCAGAGAGAACAGTCTACAGTGCATTCGGAAAGTATTCAGACCCCTTGACTTTTTCCACATTTTGTTACGTTACAGCCTTATTCTAATTAAAATGGGATTAAATTGTTTTTTCCCCTCATCAATCAACACACAATACCCCATAATGACAAAGCAAAAACAGGTTTTTAGACATTTTTGTACATTTGATAAAAAACAAAACAACTGAAATATCACATTTACATAAGTATTCAGACACTTAACTCAGTACTTTGTTGAAGCACCTTTGGCAGTGATTACAGCCTCAAGTCTTCTTGGGTATGACGCTACAAGCTTGGCACAGCTGTATTTGGGGAGTTTCTCTCATTCTTCTATGCAGATCCTCTCAAGCGCTGTCAGGTTGGATGGGGAGTGTTGCTGCACAGCTATTTTCAGTTCTTTCCAGAGATATTCGATCTGTTTCGGCCTCTGGCTGGGCCACTCAAGGACATTGAGAGACTTGTCCCGAAGCCACTCCTGCGTTGTCTTGGCTGTGTGCTTATTGTCGTTGTCCTGTTGGAAGGTGAACCTTTGCCCCAGTCTGAGGTCCTGAGCGATCTGGAGCAGGTTTTCATCAAGGATCTCTCTGTACTTTGCTCTGTTCATCTTTCCCTCGATCCTGACTAGTCTCCCAGTCCCTGTCGCTGAAAAACATCCCCACAGCATGATGCTGCCACCACCATGCTTCACCGTAGGGATGGTGCCAGGTTTCCTCCAGACGTGACGCTTGGCATTCAGGCCAAAGAGTTTAATCTTGGTTTCGTCAGACCAAAGAATCTTGTTTCTCATGGTCTGAGAGTCCTTTAGGTGTCTTTTGGCAAACTCCAAGCGGGCTGTCATGTGCCTTTTACTGAGGAGTGGCTTCCGTCTGGCCACTCTACCATGAAGGCCTAATTGGTGGAGTGCTGCAGAGATGGTTGTCCTTCTGGAAGATTCTCCCATCTTCACAGAGAAACTCTGGAGCCATGTCAAAATGACCATCGGGTTCTTGGTCACCTCCCTGATCAAGGCCCTTCTCCCCTGATTGCCAGCTCTAGGAAGAGTCTTGGTGGTTCCAAACTTCTTCCATTTAAGAATGATGGAGGTCACTGTGTTCTTGGGGACCTTCAATGCTGCAGACATTTTTTGCTGCCCTTCCTCAGATCTGTGCCTCGACATAATCTTGTCTCGGAGCTCTGCGGACAATTCCTTCCACCTCATGGCTTGGTTTTTGCTCTGACATGTACTGTCAACTGTGGGACCTTATATAGATAGGTGTGTGCCTTTCCAAATCATATCCAATCAATTGAATTTACCGCAGGTGGACTCCAATCAAGTTGTAGAAACATCTCAAGGATGATCAATGGAAACAGGATGCACCTGAGCTCAATTTCGAGTCTCATACCAAAGAGTCTGAATACTTATGTAAATAAGTTATGTTTTTATAAATTAGCAAACATTTCTGAACATGTTTTTGCTTTGGAATTATGTGGTATTGTGTGTAGATTGATGAGGAAAAAAAGTAATTTAATCCATTTTAGAACACGCTGTAACGTAACTGTGGAAAAAGTCAAGGGTCGGAATACTTTCAGAATGCACTGTATGACTAGGGTGGCTTGAGTCTTGGGCAATTTTTAGGGCAATTTTTAGGGCCTTCCTCTGACACGAACTACCCTCTGTAGCGCCTTGCGGTCGGAGGCCGAGCAGTTGCCATACCAGGCGGTGATGCAACCAGTCAGGATGCTGTCGATGGTCCAGTTGGATAACTTTTTGAGGATCTTAGGACCCATGCCAAATCTTTTCAGTCTCCTGAGGGGGAATAGGCGTTTTCATGCCCTCTTCACGACTGTCTTGGTGTGTTTGGACCATTATCATTTGTTGGTGATGTTTACACCAAGGAACTTGAAGCTCTCTACCTGCTCCACTACAGTCCTGTCAATGAGAAGGGAGCGTGCTTGGCCCTCCTTTTCCTGTAGTCCACAATCATCTCCTTTGCCTTGATTATGTTGAGGGAGAGGTTGTTGTCCTGGCACCACACTTTCAGGTCTCTGACCTCCTCCCTATAGGCTGTCTCATCGTTGTCGGTGATCAGGCCTACCACCGTTGTGTTGTCAGCAAACTTAATGATGGTGTTGGAGTCGTGCCTGGCCATGCAGTCATGGGTTAACAGAGAGTACAGGAGAGGACTAAGTACACACCCCTGAGGGGCCCCAGTGTTGAGGATCAGCGTGGCAGATGTGTTGTTACCTACCCTTACCACCTGGGGGCGGCCCGTCAGGAAGTCCAGGATCCAGTTGCAGAGGGAGGTGTTTAGTCCCAGGGTCCTTAGCTTAGTGATGAGCTTTGAGGGCACTATGCTGTAGTCAATGAACAGCATTCTCACGTAGGTGTTCCTTTCGTCCAGGTGGGAAAGGGTAGTGTTGAGGGCATTAGAGATTGCGTCATCTGTGGATCTGTTGGGGCGGTATGCAAATTGGAGTGGGTCTAGGGTTTCTAGGATGATTGTGTTGTGAGCCATGACCTGACTTTCAAAGCACTTCATGGCGACAGACGTGAGTGCTACGGGTCGGTAGTCATTTAGGCAGATTACCTTGGTATTCTTGGGCACAGGGACTGGTGGTCTGCTTGAAACATGTAGGTATTACAGATTCTGCCAGGGACATGTTGAAAATGTCAGTGAAGACACTTGCCAGTTGGTCAGCGCATGCTCGGAGTACACGTCCTGGTAATCCGTCTGGCCCTGCGGCCTTCTGAATGTTGACCTGTTTAAAAGTCTTACTCACATCAGCTACGGCGAGCGTGATCACACTGTCGTCCGGAACATCTGGTGCTCTCATGCATGCTTCAGTGTTGCTTGCCTCGAAGCACATAGAAGTCATTTAGCTCGTCTGGTAGGCTTGTGTCACTGGGCAGCTTGTTGCTGGGCTTTCCTTTTTAGTCCGTAACAGTTTGCAAGCCCTGCCACATCCGACGAGCGTCGGAGCCAGTGTAGGAGGATTCAATCTTAGTCCTGTATTGACGCTTTGCCTGTTTGATGGTTCGTCGGAGGGCATAGCGGGATTTCTTATAAGCGTCCGGGTTAGAGTCCCGCTCCTTGAAAGCGGCAGCTCCACCCTTTAGCTCAGGACAGATGATGCCTGTAATCCATGGCTTTTGTTTGGGGTATGTACGGTCACTGTGGGGACAATGTCATCGATGCACTTATTTATGAAGCCAGTGACTGATGTGGTGTACTCCTCAATGCCATCGGATGAGTCCCGGAACATACTCCAGTCTGTGCTAGCAAAACAGTCCTGTAGCTTAGGATCCGCTTCATCTGACCATTCCATATTGAACGAGTCACTGGTACTTCCTGCTTTAGTTTTTGCTTGTAAGCAGGAATCAGGAGGATATAATTATGGTCAGATTTTCTAAATGGAGGGCGGGGGAGAGCTTTGTACCCGTCTCTGTGTGTGGAGCAAAGGAGGTCTAGAGTTTTTTTTCCCTCTTGTTGCATA